TGCCTCTGAAACTGTGAGATTGTAAATTTCTGTGTTCTGAGCCAGCTAGTTTGTGGTATTTTATTACAACTGTCTTAACAAACTAATACAAAACTTCTGACCAAATTTGGAACATATTCCAGAGGGTTTTAAGTCACTTTCCTATCAAAAGCAGAGGGAATAAAAAAGAAAAGCAAGATATATCATGTATAGGCAATAATTCCCTGTGATGATGAACATTATCATTATGTACCAAAATTGTTGAGAAAAAATTTAAAATAAACTTTAAGCTTTTTACTCATTTCTGGACAATAATCAGAAGAAAATGTTGTCAGAGAGCAAATTAACTAAAGGTAGAATTCATGAAGATTTTGTTTTTTCATACTATTCTTTCACAGCTTCCCAAGAATTAAGGAGTTTGTATCAATGGGGAGAAAAATTCAGTCAAGAAATCTTTGGAAATGTCAATGCAATCAGTAATTCATCAATAATTTAGCAGTTGTATTAATTTCCTATCATTGTCGTAACAAATTGCCACACAAACCTAGTACCTTAAAACAGACATTTATTGTTTTAAAGCTTTGGCAGTCAGAAGCTCAAAATTAGTCTTGCTAGATACAAGTCAAAGTATTGGCAGGATTGATCCTGCAAGTTCTAGGGGAGGATTAATTCCATTATTTTTGCCATTTTTTTAGGGTACCCACATTGTTCTAATAGTGGCCTCTGCTTCCACTTTCAAATCTCATTGTACAGTATCTTCTAAGCATTTTTCTTTGCTTTTGTAATGGTATTGCCATTACTGTCTATGAGTATTATACGTCCTTTTTATAAGGATGCTTGTGTTAACCTGGTTACGAGTTCATGTATTTATGTAGTACCCACCCCCATTAAGATGATCAAGAATCATCTCTTCCTCTCAAGATCTTCAACTTTATCATACACAAAAAATCTCTTCATGCAGTGTGAACTAATGTGTTCATAGATTCTAAGCTTTAAGATGTGGACAACTTTAGACTACCCTTGTATGGAACTGTCTGCCAAGTATTTCAGTATAAACATCAGTGAGATGCTAGAGTTAATGGAGTGGTTGCAATTGCAGATTTGAACTGCTTGGTCTGGGCTTTACAGTCATAATATATCCTAAAATTAGTACTAAAATATGAGACTACAGAAAGCTCTGTTGTGAGTCTGACTTGAAAAATACATTTTCACATTTTATCATTATCTAATATTTTTTCCAAATAAGGACTATTGAAGATGTTTATAATTTAATTTCATTTAATACAGTATTTATTTAGCAGATACCATGTTCCAGTCCAGAATCAAATATCATCCAATTGCATAAGAAATGTGTAAAATAATTACTACAACAAGAAGTTTACGATATTTCTACTCAAATCATTTCAATGACAGCTGCTTAATGGCCAAGCATAATGCCACATGCCTTTAAATCCAGCACTTGGGAGGCTGAGGCAGGATAATTGCCACAAGTTTGAGGCCAGCCTTACACAATGAGTTTTAAGCCAGTCTGAACAACATAGCAAGATCCTGCTTAAAAAAAATTAATTTAAAAGGACAAAAAATCAATAATGTACCAATCTAATTTTAAAAGAAAAACAAAAACACAGATAAACTTCAATAAATACCAGAATATTATGTTTATTTTCACTTTACATAAGAATGATGGTGACAACTGTCTATGTTAACTTCAAAACATGTCTTATATATACAAAAGTCTGTGGAGACTAACTCCATATAAACAAGAAAGTTACTCAGCTCTAGAAAGTTGTCCAAATATCAAAAACAAAAACGCAGCATTCGAAGGTAAGATTGCATTGTTATCTGTGAACCTCTGGGAATTGTGCACGTATTAGCTCTTTAAGGGCTGTTTGTTTTAACTGAGTCATTACTGAAGGTAGAGAGGAAAACATAATTAACTAGGGCTCATCGTATTCTGCATCTGTTTCCTTTCTCAAGAATAAAGCCAATTCAATAAGATAAAAAGTCCAAGACTGACAAGAGATCAAGAATCCACAGTCATCAGCTACAACTTATCATTATTTCTGTGAAAAAATTGACAAAACTGATTTACAAAGACTGATTATACTTTGGTATGTAGCAATCAATTAATTTTTGAGTAATAAACCTATTTTGTGAAACCACAAACTCAATCAGTATAAAAGTCTAAGTTAAAGCACCAAGGAGAAAAAGAAAATGAAAATTAATTGGTCTAAAAATTCTGACAATGAATAGGAGTATCAGTTTGCACTTATATAGAGTAGAACTAAAAATATAGTTCTAAGTAATTAAATGAGATTATTGATTAATGCATGCAATGTAATGATTTCTTAATGTACGCAATGATTGCTTAAAAATAAAAATATTTCAGAAATATTCCAAATTTTAGTACATCTTATAACACTATATTTTGTGTATTACTTTTGTTATTTTCACTTGAAGCATAAAAGAAACAGTGAATTGAATTGCATAGCACAAACACTTGAACATGAGGACAATCCTAGTCACAGCTAATGCTTACTGAGTGCTGCCTGTGAGCTGATGTATATTTTATGATTACATGTGATGTGACTTTTCTTTTTTTTTACTTTTATTTAGGGAGAAAAAGAAAAAAAGCAGAGAAAGGGTACAAGTTTTACAGGTTTACAGAAAAAAATAAACAGTAGGAAATCACTAGTTAATGGATTATATATTGTCATCTTAGAAATAATAGTTTAAGTTACAAAATTAAAGCTTATAAAGTGGACATTCCAGCAGTGAGACTGCAAACAGTTCTGTTTAATGATCCAACAAAACTCAGTAATATCATTATCTATCTTATACACTTAAATATACATGCAGTTATATCGTTTAGAGCACTTTCTTTTCCTCTCTTTTGTACAATGACAATTACACATTTTGGGTTTTATTACTCCCACAGTTCTTATTACTTTTTTGGAAGAGAGTAGAACCAAATGTGACATAATAGAACAGAGTCAGTCAAATCAAAAGGATGGACATAATAGATAATGTAAAAGCATAATACAAGGTGATCAACAATGGTTACCATGATGCCTCCCGCTATTTCTAATAGAATCGCCTATATCATCAGTTATAATAAAATTGAACAAAACAGTAAAGAACAAAACCAACAAAACCAAAACATTGGAGACATTATAGGTCTTCAAAAGTAGATAATAGTCAACCAGAATGGGCATCATAATGAATCCCACTATCTTCACAGCTGTTGCCTAAACTTTCGAACCTGATACTATCAAGTAAAACAGAATAGAGGAACATCAGGCAAAACAAGATGGTGAGAGCAATACAGGGCTTTAAATCAAGATAATGGAAAGTCAAAGTGGGTTACTATAATATATCCTGCTATTTTTTAATTTATTTTTCCCTTAATTAAAAGGATAAAAATAAAAAAGTAAATAATAAAATGGAGATTGAGATAAAAGAGGACATAACAGCAAAACAGCGCAGATCAAAACATAACCATTTAAGCAAAATAGTGTTTCATCACAAGATAATCCCGACATAAAAGTAGTTACCATATTGTCTCTTTCCTTGAAATCTTTTGAGTATAACTTCGTATACTGTAGCATCAAATATATCAAAACAATGTAAAACCATTTAAGAGAATGACAGTATTACAGGGTATTTAGAATCAACTAACAGAAAATGAACAATGGTTTCTGTATAATCTCCTTGTCTATAAAGGTTTTTGTTATACTATCACATAAGATACAACCTGTTTAGATCAATGGAGACAGAAAAACAAAAGCTTGATGAGACTTCAAAACAAGATGATACTTAATCAGAAGTCTGCTGTAATTCTGATGGGTGTTCCCTTGTAAGTGATCTGTTTCTTGTCTCTGATGGCTTTTAATATTCTGTTCTTATATTGGATTTCTGGTATTTTGATTATTATATGCCTGTGTGTAGCTCTGTTTGGGTTGTAGGTGGCTGGGGTCCTGAATGCTTCATACATCTGAGTATCTTTACCTTTTGCTAAATTAGGAAAATTCTCCTGGATTATTTCTGCTAGTAGCTTTTGTAGTTCATTTGTTTGTGTCCCTACTTCTTCTTTTATGTTTTTAATTCTTAAGTTATAGATCCTCTTATCATCTTGTAGTCTTTGTATTGTTGCTGTTTGTTTCTTTGTTATTTTTAAGAAGTTTTTCATTTCATGCTCCCATATTACAAATCTGGCCTCCAGTTCAAATAATCTGTCCTTAGTTTATTTCAAGCTGTTATGCCAGTTTTCGATAGAGTTTTTAGTTTCCTGGTAGTCTCTTTGAACCTGCTTTACATATTCTATGCTTTCTCTATTTTCTCCATCAAACAATTCTCCCCTCTTTTTCTGTTCTTCCATTCCACCATCTGTTTTTTCTTGGGTGGTGCTTAGCATTTCTCTAACTATTCTGCTTATTTCTAGCTTCAGGTCATTAATAACTTCATTCCTGAACTCCTTTATGAGGCTCTGGAGATAGCACTTTATGTCTATTGGTGCGGTGTCCGCTGTTGCCTGTTTCTCAGGATTGGGAGCCGAGGGGCCTTTCTTGTTGCTTCCTCGTCCCATATTCTTTGTTCCTTATATATGCAAGTGTATATAGGAGGCCCAGCTTCCTTCCCTGTTGGCCACAGTCTGATTGAATTGTGCTGGCTAAGTGTTCCCGCCCACCACAGTGCACCAGGGAGTTACAGACCAGGCAGCCTATGTGGGGCCCGCCCCTCCAGGTCACCTTCAGGTGCTGGGACCTGGGCTGTGCTAGCCTACTGGGTCTCAGCCAGCAGTGTCACATAGGCTAGGCACTGCTCACCAGTCCCGCTTGAGAGGGGGATACGTGACTTAGGTCACTACAGCACCCTGTTCTGGGAAGTCTGCCCAGTCCCAGAATGTCCTCTGTTGGAGTCTCCTAGATCGTGGAAGAGTCCCAGTTTCTGTCACTCACCACAGGTCGATGTACAGCTCCCTGCCCGTCCTGCTCTCAACTCCATTCACCAATTCCCGTTCTCAGAGCTTTCACATGTCTCTCTCCCTGCAGAGCCGATTCAGACACAGCAGTGGCAGGAGGAAACCCAAATCGAGGCTCCCAATGGCACGGGCTCCAGCTTCCACGCTGAGGCTTTATCTGTTCCTGTTATAGCACCAGGATTGCATTCCCAGTTGGTTTCTCTCAGCCCAGTTCGTTCTTGGGTCAGCAGGGCATATCTCCTCTCTTGCTTAGGATTCCTCACTCTCACCATTCCTGGATTCTAAGCTGGGACTTTTAGAGAGCCTCGGTAGCTGCTGCTATCTGTCTGCCATGTTCTCCCGGAAGTCGTGATGTGACTTTTATGTCTTTCAGCAATTTGAGATCAATCACTTCTGCTCAAATAAGGTAAAAAAGTGTTTCTTGTTGTTTCCTGTTATCTACCTTTTATTTTGTTCTTTATATTTTGGGTTTCTCATGTAAGAGAAGGGTGTCTAAGAGATGGGTGAGGGAGAAGAGAGGGGAATGAAAACAGATAGAAGTTTAAGTTTGTCATGCTCATGTACCAGCTCCTCGCAATTAACGCTATCATGCATTACAAACATGTATTAATAACAAAAATACAGTAAAAAGGATGATAGGTTATTTGCTTTAATATGCTTTCCATATAGAAAAATTTGAATTGGAATTCTTGCTTATTACAGTAGTGCATGCTTTTAGCAACAATCCATTTAACTTCTCTCTTATTTCTTCCATCTACTTGGAATGCCAGTTCATTTGAGCCTCTGACCACAGGTCATTTCCCACAGAACATTGCTATGACTCTTTCAGGCATTAGTCTAATGCGTTATCTTTTGCTAATCTGCAGAAAACAAAATAGAAAGATGCTTTACACTTCAGCTTTTCTGTAGCCGAGAGCAGGTTTGATAGCAGAAGGCCCTTCGTGAACTGATAAGTACAGAATCGCTGACGATGTGCAATTTACCACCAGAATAGGAAGAGCCAAACAGTACTCTACAAAAGAACGCTGAATACCTTTAATCATTTTGAGGGATTTGCAGACATCAAAATGGATGCAAAACACAAGTGAATTCCAGATAGTTAGATTTGATTTCTGAAATTGCTCATTGTTCTGATTGTATTGAGAATTTCCCAGTTTATACAGCACTTTAATCCTTTTGCTTTACTTTCAATGTGCTAACTCTAATAGTGTATTCCCTTATTCCTCCTGCCTTGCATCTCTTTATTTTCCTGTATCTTCCAGAGAACCCTCTTTACTAAGTAATTTGTTAAAAGATTAAATTGTCTTCAGTATACTCTTCATAACCCACATAAAGTAACATGTTGTCCTTGTAGTTAACTCCAGCATCCAGTAAAATGTTGAGGTTGAAAATACAAACTAATGTAACTTACAAGCATCCTAAAAGTATTAGAAATGACTTTCATCACTTTTGAGCCCTTGGGATGGTTTCAAGAGATGAACAGTTGTGAGTACCTTGAAGTGTGTATCCAGATCTAGGATGAAATTATCACAAAAAATGTTTGAATGTTAAAGTGTACATTAATACATAAAATAATATAAAAATGAAAATATATTGTGAATTTCTCTATCTTAGGATGATATTCTTATGCATGAGGAGGACGGGGATATACTGTCCTGGAAGAATTGCACAGCCATCTGGGGACAAGCCCTTAGGTCTCTGGAGTATTAGCTAGCTCTGGATACCACTGTTGAATCCAAACTATGAATTATTAGACTATAGCAATCTATAAAAGGCAAAAATCTGATGAAATAGGTCTATTTTCCACACTATTCCAGGGCCATTTTCTGCAAAGGGCAGGTTTTCATTTTTTGTAATGACTGTAGTTACTCTAACTGACAAGTGATAGCCTTTTGAACAGAACTATAACCAGTTGGTAATGGACATTCAGAATTTCCAACCAGAGACACTTATGATTATAGATATCCTCACAAATTCCTCAGCATCTCTTCACTGATAAGTCTTTCTATGCTTCTTATTTTCTAGCTTGGCATTATGACCTTTGGAGAGACAGCATTTTCCTTTAAATTATGACATGATGGCAAAAGCAAAATGTGAGGCCTCAGGAAGATATCTGTAAAATAACTAACAGTGCGACATTTCAATGTGTTACTGAAGGTCTAGATCATGTTTGAGAACTGTATTTAGAAAGTTAATCATTATTACTAAAAACTGAGAATGACTTTCTCAATGTTTAAAAAACTTTAAAAAATAAAATCAGCACTCTGATTCTTCTCCCAAAATCTGTTGACTCAATCATCAAAACTATTAACATGCCCACTTTGAGAAGAGTGATATCAATATTATAGAAATGGAGATAGGGCTCAAGTGAAAGAAAGTCATTCTGTTATCCTCAGGATGTGCTTTTGCTCAAACAATTATGCTAACTCCAAAGAAATAGTTGCCAAGAACTGTAACAAATACCAAGTTGCCGTGTTCCTTAAACCCAGGCTGAAATTCACAGTCTCAAAATGACTTCAGAGCAAATTTACTTCAAGGATATTATTTTTAATGTAAGATTCAATGCTTTGGTTTGGTACAGTGCTTTTCTTAGCCAAGGACATGTAGATATTGTAAAATAATAATAATTGGGAATTTTGAACTTTGAAATCAATTCCATAAAATACCTTACTATACATGCGTGTGTACAGAATGCTGACATATTTAGATTAGATTTCTGAAATCAAATATCACTGAATATGTCATCAAAATATCCAAAAATGTGAAATCAGCTTTTAAAGTTTGGGGTTATTTATTAATTTCCTGGAGATGACATAACAGAGAAATCCAGAACAATATTTCTGACATCAAATTGTGGCAGCCTGCACTTCCTCTGAGACAAGCAGGGAATTTTCTTTCCCACACCTTCAGCTCCTGCTAGCCCACTGTGGCAGCCTCAGGGCCAGCCATCACACAGAATTTTCCCTGTTTTCTCCCAGTTCTCCACCTCTTTGCGTAGTTCTCCTTCTGGGCATGTCTGTCTGTGTCCAAATGCTCCCTATTTATAAGACCAGTTAGAATTGTACAGGATCAAAAGCCACTCTAATAATTTCACTTTAATTATGTAAAAACCATATTTTCCTATACAGTTTATTTCCTGAGGTACTAATAGCTAAACTTTAATTTTTTTTTTTTTTTTTGGTGATACCAGGGATTGAACTCTTGATTTATGCTTGCCAGGGAGGTACTTACACCAGTGAGTTAAATCCCTGTACCTCTTTTTTTTTCTTTAATCTACAAAGACAATTTAATTCCTACTAGAGTATATGAATTTTAATTTTAGTTAGAAAAAATTGCCAGTTTTCCTTAACATCCACTACATTTGGGCTGGAGATGTAACTCAGAGGTCTAGCACATGTGTGGCCCTGGGTTCAGTACCCAGCATCACACACACACACACACACACACACACACACACACACACACAGTCCTATGTATGCTGTCTTTTGAGGCACAGAATAACGTCAAGTTCCATTCACCTGACATAGCCATAATTTGTGACATATTAGAATTCTCTCTGATGTAACCAAAAGGTTTTAGACACCTACTTTTGCTCTCAGACTTGATTTGAGACAAAGTATAATGGAATTATTACAATGAATTATCTCAATTAAATTATAATAGATATTTTATATAAGTCCCATTTAAAGTAATGCAAATAAAATTTCTTTTGCCTAACAATTTTACTCTTCATACATTTCTATTCACATTATGTTGTTTCCAAGTGTTTTTATAAATTAATGTTTATAAACTGTGTACTTTTCATGTCTGCTATGTTATTTCAGCTATACTTCCGGATGACTAGATTCCAAGTAAGAAAGCACATTTGAGCTATTAAACACTTAGAAGCTTATGGAAAAATCACTTTTGTCCTCTCCAAGTAGTGAAGTATACCAGTGGGGGTGTGGCAATTAGATATTCAGTTGTTATTTTCTGAGTACTAGTGCAAGATCACTGAGGACAGAATTTCCTTATTGAACATTTCAAAACAGCAACTTGGCCTTATTCTGTGATGAACTTGGTGCACAGCTTTTATCGTGGCATAAATGAGCACAGTTTTTATAATCACTTGTCTGCTACTATAAGATTGTGCACCAGGCTGGATTCCTGGGGAAGAGAATTTATGGTGGCATTTTTACTGTAGCGTGTTTATTAATGGATTTCCCATGGAATCAGCACTTAAGATGGGAACAAGCAGGATTGATAGGGGAGAGGAAGCAGCTGAACTGTGACGTAGAACCAAAGTAGTTTTCAGTGACCCGGGAGAAAGTTCTAGAGGAAAAATAACTCTTTAATGTTCCTGGTTGGACAAAAATGGCTAGTTCCCTCTAACCTCTCAGAGATCAGTCATTGGATCTGACTCTCTTGAAGTAGCAGTGGAGTTTTGGAAAGAGGGTCTCTGCTGGCTGAAATAGTCCCTGAGGGAGCCAATAGGGAGCTGCCAAGAGTCCCCAGGCCACTACAACAATACATTCTCTTCTGCTGGGGCATCTGAGTGGCTTCTCCCAGTGTGTCCTCAGAGCAGATCTGCTAGGATAGTTCAAATCTTTTTAATCACACTTTTGCTGTCTTTGTGCATTACTATGAATCCACATAAATTACAAAAATGTTAAGACTGCATTTATTGCATAACAATAAAGTGCATAATTTTGGATTTTCTTGAACTTCACTTTCTTTATTAATTTTCCTGGAACACCATATCACGGAATATTGCTTCACCCCCATCGTAACTTCTGCTCAGTGAATTACAGGAAGTGAATGACTTCTGCTCAATGAATTACAGTGAATATGGGTGTATTTCTTGTAAAATTACTAAATCCCAGAAATTACAACATCATCCTGTTATAATGGGGTGAGGGAGAGAAGATAGGCATATAATTCCACAAAAATAGCCCCCCCCTCCCCATCGAGTACTAAGAATTGAACTCATGACCTTGTGCTTGCCAGGGTGATTCTGTGCCACTGGGTTATAGCCCGGGCCCCAAAATAGCATCTTACCACAAAATGTGAAGGTCAGAGAATGATATGACCTCATAAGCAATAAATGTGCCTTTGTCTGTGCCATGGAAACAATCAGGAACAAACTTGTGACCTCTTCCCACATTCCTAGTACTGTCTCTGAATTCCCTTTAAACCAAACTATTTTTTGGTCTCACAAAGTCCAAATTTATTTTTTCTGTTTACATTTCAACCTTGAATACATACAATGCCTTTTAAAAAGATTGAATAGAGAAACAGTAAACATTCAGCTTTGTGCAATCATTTTAAATTATGTCAAAATAAGAAGCTGGACAAATATACTTGTGTTCCAATAGAAAAAGAAATGACTTTTAAGGAAAATACTTGCTTTTTAACATGGGAATCAAC